TATGTGAGAAAAATTATGAGAGTGCTCGGTGTGGTTGTGTTAGGCTATGAGTCTACTACTTATAACTCATTCAATGGTTATATATAGCAAAGTTATATATGATATATGAAGTAAATGGTCATATTATAGTAAACAACTATATATAGTAAAAGACTATATCACATAAGTTATAGATGATAGATAGTTGTATGTTGCATATGGCTATATTGGTAGAGCTTTGTATACTAAATTAAACCATATATATACCCATTAGATTGTGGTTTGAAAATAAACTTGGTGTATTCTTTGTAATTTCCATTTTTGTACATACTTGAAGTCATGAATATAAATTTCTAACGAATATTCCTCATTGCATTTTCTATCTCCTATGTTTTGTGTTCATGTAGATCGAGTGTGTGTTGTTGCACAATCCTAACAACAAGTACCAGAGCTAAGTGAAATTCACCACGATCTGTGAAAAAGGAAAGCTCAAAGATTGGAGTTGAGAAGTTCGATGGATTTGATTTAAATTTCTAGAAGATGTAGATTGAAGATTACCTATATAAGAAAAATCTTCACGAACCCCTGTTCGGGGTGAAACCAGATACCATGACCACAGAGTAGTGAAATCTAAAAAAATCGAAAGGCCCAGGGCTGATATTATTGGCATTCAACATTGTCAAAGAGAAGATAATGTTGAATTTGTTAAAAGCATAGTCGAATATGTATGAAAAACAAGAGAGGAAGCAGAATCACAAATCTGGGGAATGATGGTTCTGTAAATTCAACCGAAGGCATTAAGGTGCTCTAATTCTTAGTGTGGACAGCCTAACTGAATCCTAGATTTTAGATTTGGGTGCATCATTTCATTCGTCTCCAAGTAAGAATTGTTTCAAAACTTCAAATCATAAAATTTTGGGAAGGTGTATCTTGCCAAAAATAAAACATTGAAGATTGAAGGGAATGGAGATGTTTGCATACAAACTCTAGTAGGAAATTAGTGGGCATTAGAAGATGTCAGATATATTTTTGGTCTCAATAAAAACTTGATCTCTATTGGTTAGTTGGATAATATTGGATATGCAGCAGAGTTTGCATGGAAGAGTGTGATAGTGGTAGCACGTGGCACAAAATCTGGAACCTTATACATCATTGCAGGATGTATAAATATGATTCCTGTAGCTGAGAGTGCTTCTAATTCAAGTCTATGGCATAATACACTTGGACATGTGAGCGTCAAATGAATGAAGATGTTGATTGCGAAAGAAGTTTTAGAAAACCTGAAGTTTGTTGATATGGGTCTTTCTGAGAGCTGCGTTATGGGCAAACAGAAACAAGTTAATTTCATAAAGGCTGATAGAGAACCGAAGAAAGTGTGGTTGGAAATGATGTTTGGGGACCTTCTCTAGTTTTATCACTTGGTGGATCAAAGTTTTACGTTACCTTCATTGATGATTTCAGCAAGAAGATACGGATTTATTTTTTGAAACATAAGTCAGATGTGTTTGTTACCTTCAAAAAGTTGAAAATTGAAGTTGAAAATAAGACCGACTTGAAATCAAATGTCTGGGGTCTGACCATGGATAAAAGTACAAGTCAAAACATAAAACATTTTGTGCAACCGAGTGAATTATATTAATGAGAACAGTTCTAGGTAAGGCAAAGACAAAATGATATTACAAAAAAGATGAACAGAACATTAAATGAGTGAACAAGGAGCATGATGATTCATTTTGGACTACCAAAGACATTATGGACGGCTGCTGTGAATACGCCAACCTATTTGATCAATAGAGGACTATCAGTGCCCTTGGAGTTTAAAATGATAGAAGAGGAAAAGAAGTCAATTATTCTCACTTGAGAAGTTTTGGTTGCATTGCATATATTGGATGATCTAGAGAAAAAAAGACAAGCTTGATGCTAAGGTTATGAAGTGTTACTTCATAGGCTATGGTTTTGACATGTTCGGGTACGTGTTTTGGAATGATAAGAATAGAAAAATCTTAAGACATTGTAACATGATCTTTGATGAAAATGTCTTGTACAAAAACAAAAAGAAGATAGGTTCTGAGACTTCGAAACAAGGGGAGTTAAGCTTGAGTTGTAGAAAAATTTACTCAATGATATTATAGCAGAAACACAAGAAACTTCCAAGACTATTGTTGAAGAACTATATGTAGAGCAAATGATACCGAAGCATGTATTGAGGAGATCATCTAGAACTATCAGAGCACCAGACAGATATTCATATCATCACCCATCATAGCTTATCGTAACCTAGTATAACATAGCATAGCATGACTTATCATAGTATAGTGTATCATATCATAACATAACATCGCATAGCATAACATAACATAACATTTAAGCATATGACGCATGTAGGGTCCACGAAGCACGTATCATAATACGTAAGACAATTTTTTCAACCAAACTGATAATGGAACCACTTACTTGGTTGGCTTGAGTCGAACCCGCTCGATAATCCTAAAAATGATTTGAGGCACCCCTTGTCCTCCACTCTAACCTATATTTCCCCACAAGATTATATCAGGACATGACATGGACATAGTTAAAAGTATCCCTTAATTCAACTTTATAGCTAAAAAAAAACTTAATTTAAGCCATTTGGGTGTGTATAAAAAACTTAATTTAAGCCATTTGGGTGTTAAACTGCACTCTTCTCATGAGGTTAAACAGCTTCGAAAGGGTAAACAATGTAGGAAATGGTACCAAACAGTGTAACTCAAGCTGGTAAGCTGGATGGGAGCCGATACCAAACTTTCTCACACATGAGGAGTGGCTCGCACGAACGAAAAAGAAATATGCGATTGATTCTTCTTTTTTAGCTTCGAAGGGACACGACAGCTACAATAAAGAAAGCAAAGGTCGTGGTTGCGAACATGGTGACAAAGGAGGTTGTAAAATTATCTCACAAACTCATGACGATGCCAACCACTTGACAAGAGCATGATGAAGTGTTACTCTTGTGGAGAATACATGCATTATATAGTGGAGTGTCGCAACAAGAAAGTAGGATGATGAGGCAAACCTCACATTTACGCATGACGAAGAGCCTGTACTGGTGTTAGTTGAGAAGATGCCCAACCTATTTATGCTCAATGAGGAGAAGGTTATGACAAACCCCCTCGCATACGGAGAAGATCGAGGGAGACCAACATGTGGCATCTAGACAACGGAGCGAGCAACCACATGACCAAAGATCAAGCAAAGTTCAAGGAGCTTGATGAGAAGCTCATTGGAAATGTAAATTTTGGTGATGGATCAATTGTACATATCCAAGGCAAAGTATCTGCCTTGTTCAAGTGCAAAAATAGTGATCAACGTCTACTGACCAAGGTATATTATATCTCTAGCTTGAAGAGTAATATTACCAGTGTTGGGCAAATGACAGAAAAATGTAGTAGAGTGAAGTTAATTAAGTCATTCCTTAAGATGTTCGACAGAGTGGAGTTAATTAGGTCATTCCTTAAGATGTCCGACCGAAACAAAGCCTTATTGATGAAGGTAAATAGTTACAAAATTGCCTATGTAAGATATTAATGAAGACTATCAATATCTTTTGGAAGCCTACATTGGCATTGGCATTGGCGACAAGGAAGGGAAGAAGAAACAAGTAGGTCAGGAGAAGAGATACCGAAGAACATAGCTAAGAACAAACTGGAGGCTGCCTCAGCCAATAAATAGCAACCTACAAGTCAGTGTATTTCATCAGACTTATCACCTCAAACAAGGAGACTTAGAGGAAGGCCACCCGGACGTAAGAAAAAATGGGACAATAGAACTTCTCATCTCAACCAAAGAGACCTAGAGAGAGGCCTAAAAAGAAACAAGAATTCAATGATAACATGGGCAACAATTACCAACTTGCTCAACCCTACTCTATTGAATGCTTAGCTAGTTTATTCAGCTTGCTTGAGACCGATGGTATCCAAAGAATTCTAAAAAACTTGTATCACTTGAAAGTAGGGTTGAAAGGTAGTGCTTTACAAGAAGTTTCTACATGCACGTCTGATGAAGAAGTTCATTCATAGAAGAGAGGAGCGGAAGGAATTGCATGTTGTAGAGTTAAAATTTCTTTTGAAGAAGGCAACGTTGATCAAAGACCAAAAAAAGTTACACTAAAGAGCAACATCCATATTCTCACCAAGACCCTAGCAAAGATTAAATTTGCTGACATGCAAGAGTTCCTCGGAGGGAACAATCTCGAGTAAAATCAAGCTTACGAGGAAGATTGTGAATCAATAAACTTGCCTTAATAAATTAAAATTAAAAATTAAAAAATAAATAAAAAAATAAATAACTATTTTTGGAGCCACCAATGGTTTGGAAATGTAGCACTCCACTTGTTTTTAAAGCAAGTCTGCATGTCCTGCACTACCATTAATTTGGTCACAACTTTAAATTTAGCTAGAAAGAAAAACAAGGATAAAATCTGAGTTCTTAAGAATAGAAATCTAAGTACTATAAAATTACTAAAAGATCTTTATTTATATGCCTTCCATCCTCATCTAAATGAAGTTTTTCGAAAATATTATACACTTTATTTTATCAAAGGTTAACAGTTTAACCGTAAACTCCTTTGCTCGAGATTAAAAGTTCAAATCTTCGTATTACTACAGTAATTGGAAACTAATGAATAAATAAAAATAGAACTTTTAGCTGTTCAAGTATAGACTCGAGGAAACCTTGAACATAAGATCAAGTAAATATAAAGCATATTGTACACTATTTCCTGCAGTAAACCAAGAAAGAACTATGATCACCAAACTTGGATGTTGTCGAATTCGAACCTGCAATGATCAACGGTTTCAGGATACTATAAAACAATGCTTTTCGTTTCAGTGTTCCAAAATCTAAATCGCCAAATTTATATCGATGCTTTTGATTGCTTCTTGATCTAAAGAAATATAAATAAACAAAAATGAAAACTGGACTCAAAATCTTTTAGGAGAATTTGCTAATGACAATCAAGCAAATTATAAAGTTTACACAGCCAGAGCACAACAATTAAGACTTGAAACTTCTAAGATAGAAAGCAGACATTCACAAATGTATAGACCAAGAAACCGAACATAATGTCGACACTAATTATTTGTTAAGTAAACTTGGGACGATATAAACAATTCCACATCCCTGAAAGTAAATAATAGACATCAATTATACAGCAAAAACTGACCATGGGGAAAAATAAAACTAGGATGACCAATGAAGATTTACTTACAAGAATGAACAAAACCGCAAAGTAGTTCTGCTCTGACATGGGAAAATCCATCAAGCAAACAAGAATCTAAGGTTATAAGCGACGCCTGCTCCGGGACGAGAAACTAGGAGACCCCGTGGGAGTTATGCCTCCTCTATAAGTGGCATTAAATGAAGTGTATGCTGCCTTGAGTGGTTCAGGAACAGAATCTAATGGAATCGACTCTGCAAAGCAAGCGGTGTTTATTCGTGTTCTCTCGAGCTCTTGTTGAAGCAACTCTGTGCTGTACTGCTGTGCCAGTGCCTGTAACATAGAAAGATAATTGACTATAGCCCAACGCACACAACAACTGTAGCAAAAGAAAAGATATGGTTGATACATATGAACCAGTTATCATGTAGCAATTGGTAAACTTGAAGAACTCTAGACATTGATGTAGATGTTCTACCTTTTGGCTCAATATAAATCAGATATATGTTTTAGTCCTTAATGTTTGTATCTAGTCCCTAAGGTTTGCAAAGTATAATTCTAGTCCCTTACATCTTAAGAAATTTTAAGTTTATATCCTTTCCATCTGTAAATTTTAAAATTGGCAAATGATAAGCTTTGAATTCCTCTAAATTTGTAAACTAAAACTACAAATTCTCTCTCTTGGGAGGTAATGCCAATTGCAACATGCTCCAATGGAAAGATTACACTTGAAACATGTTATAACATGAAGAGACTAAATTGAGAAAACACCAAAACTTGAGGGACTAAAATGCATGTGTCAAGTCTAAAATGATAAAGAGTTAGTCGAGGCATTATTTTGAACTTTAACATGTACAAGAGAATGTAGTGCAAGAAGATGCTTCTCACAATAAGTTCATCTGGGGCAGTTGCTCCTTGCTGTCGTTCATCTAGAGCTTCCTCGCTCCCACGAGTTGACCGACGATTATGGCCTGGATTATCAGCTGCCTCTGTCACACTTTCAGTAGCTTTCTCCAAAAGCACTCCTTGCAAAGACCTCAAAGACTCCCTTGCGTCCGGTGTGAAATAAGGATTTAATATGATCTCGAAGTACTCGAGCTGCAAAAGGAGCACAAGTCAGCTACTACCATTATAGGTTAACCATCTAAATGAAGCTGCTCCAGTGCACAATACATAATTATGATACATCCCCTAATGCAACAAAAAAGAGACATGAGATGCATGGCTTTTTTTCTTCAGCTCATTATTTTACCATTTTTTTCTGTTGGAATTGGTGCATGAGCAATTTATTTGTTTGATTGCGGTTACAGATCAGCGGTTCATGTTTCTAGTTTTTTTCCTCCGTTGAAATCTAAATGCATGAAAAACATCCTAAGTTCGATCAGTATCATATTACACAGCTGATTTCCCTTCCCTAGTTTAACATTAATTTTACCTCAAGCATGAGTTGACAGAAACCATTTGTATCAAGTGACTGTAGCTCTGTTGTTCCATTTTCATCAAAAATGCTGAGGAAAGTATCAATTAAACCTTCAACAAGAATGCCTAGTGTCTTGTCCAAAAGGGGCTTAGCACCAGCAAAAACCTGAAATAATGTATTAAAATAAGAGTCAGCTAGCCAAAACTTGTAATTAGAAGGAAGGAAAGCGGTAAATGAAATGAGAACAAAAAAAGTGTAGAAGCCTTTTCACAAAGGAAATAGCACCATCAAGCTAGCATTAAAGAATCAGAAAGTTGAATTAAAAAAGTTTTAACATCCAGAACGAAAATCAGAACAATGAGACTACAATAGTTCGCTTCTAGCACATGGTTGGCATTTTCCTAAACTGATGGTAAGATTACCTCAGCATGGACAGACACAAGAGTGTGGAGAAGCTCTACAGCTGCATCACGCACACCCTGCAAAAAGAAAAAATAACAAAATAGCAAAGAGAACTAGATTTAGGTGCTAAATATTGAAAGAATAAATAAATAATGTAAAAGGCCGTGCTATCAGTAGGAGCACTCATGGGAACAGTCTCCAGTGGAGCATACTTTAACTGCAGGAGCAGCTCCCCAGCGGACTCCGGAATCCAGTAAATAGTTAGTAGCAGCTGTTCTCATCAAGTTTGCCTGATGTGAAGAGATCAACCATTAGTACATGAAAGCTTGGTGTAAACCTAGAAAATATGGATAAAATCATGATTGAAAAATAAAATTATCAGCTGATGTTCATGGCCATGAAAAAGAAAACGTTGAAGAATTCTAAACCATCTAATTAGAACCTTGGAAAAATAAAACTTTGTAAATATGCAATGATATAAGGAAAGATTTCGTTTTGTTTGGCTTTAGTCTTCACTTTTGTTTTGGCTCCCTCTTGGTCTAGCTGTTTTTTTTTTTTATTTTTTTTTTTCCTTTTATTGCGTAGTTGTGTATTTTACCATTTGCTCTACAAGAGTACAGTTTTTCATAGAAGAAAAAACAACAACGTGATAGCTTTATACTATAAGAAAAAAGTGGAGGAAATTTCTATTGAATATTGAAATTTAAAATAAAATTCAATACTCGATTGGATGAACTAATTCGACTGTTTATGCTCAAACATTATTCATGTGTAATATGAGTCTCAAATTATCTTTAAGCTCCAACAATACAGCTGATTATGCTAGGAGAAGGAATTCATCAACATATCAAATCGAAATCAATCTTCTTTGGCTTATGGAAAATTGAGCTCATATTGAAATGAAATAAAAGAAACAAAAGAATATTATACAATTTCGTGGTAAACTATAACAACAAATTTGTAACTTTGTTTTCTTGGTAAGAAAACAATTATTATTAACATAGACGAACTGGAAAAAAACAATTACAAGAAAATCTCCGATTGAGTAACTAAGAATAAGAAATAATCACAAAAATTCTGAAGTAGAAACTCAAGGGGGAGTACTGAAATGCACAGTAATCCTAACCTCCCACTTCCAAGAGTTAAAACATCCTATCCTCTCAAGCCCTAAACTCCAATGGGAAATAACAAGGCCAGCTTGCCATAGAAGTTTCCTCCCTCTCTAGGAAACTTCTTTTAAAAAAAAAACCATTGCGAAGGAGACCTATTTCATTGCATCGGTTCATTTTAATTTTTAAGAAATACACTTCGAACACTAGATATCACATTGATATTCGGAAGTCATTCTTCTGAACTAAAAGCTTCCCAAGTACGTCCGTATATCTCATTTACTATTCTTTTTGTTTTTCTTCATTTTTTTGGGATAGGAAACAGAAATATATCTATATCCATATTTGAAACAAGACTTCATGATGGGAAAAAAAAAAAATGCACTGCAGAACATAAGATTACTAGGCACACACAACATTAATAAATTACGATTTAAATGTAAAAATAAATAAAATAAAATAAAAAATCAAATTCAATGTATGATTTGCATTGAATGTGGAAGGAAACATCAGATTTGTCAATAACAAGCAGTTCACAAAGACTCGCTCCTCTTTTCAAAATATTTACAAGAAAGGAGGGACTCACGGATGGTAAGAATATACTTCTAACGAAAAGGCAGGAATCAATCAAGAGAGTTGTTGCTTTAAAGTAATAAATTCCATATAAATTTAGAATGCATTTTGGCAATACCTTTGCATAGGTATACTGTTCAAGGACCTTTTCTTCAATTGCAGTAAAGGACATAACAAGATCTTGAAGGTCACTGCTATCCTCTTCAGTTTTTACCCTAGAATGAAGGGAAGGCGTTAGTGGAAACCTCGCAAATATATATAACTTTTTCAGCATCCATAATCTCAATCACAAGGAGTTTAAAGTACTTCAAAATTAGAAAAATGTAAAGCATTGCACTTAAATATTATACATCACGTCAACCAAGAGATTTTAAACTACATCTAGGAAAAGCATTATTAGAATCTTGAAGGACAAAATAGTTATCTGCTAGGTAAAAATGAGCCTTAATCACTCACCTATAATGTGACCAAATATGCTTGTACTTGCTGTACAATTCACACGAAAGGTTCTCTTTACAAAAACCAATATTACTCAAGACTATTAACAATTGTTGATGTGGATTCACAAAATTCCCAGACACATCTGAAAGTAGTTTGTCCTGAAATTCATGAGAAAATCCATTCTGCAAGTGTGGATTGTCTTTGTTTTGTTTGGTCTGGATAAGCCCATTTCCAATATTCTCCAGATGACCTAGATAAGGTATGTATTAAATGATGTATATCACTAGATATAATTAAGAAGTATTTCCATGCAAGGATAACAAAAACAGTTGGAAGCATAAATACCTGCAAAATCAAGGAAACAGTTCAAAAATGCAAGTCTAACAGATTCCTCAATTTCTTGAAGTTGCAAAAATATATCCTCCGACTTCGAAGCCTCGCTTGTTAAAGACTGAACCATACTGAAAATTAATGCAACTGAGAATCAGTCAAAAATAAATAAGTAATATTCTCTTGAAAGAAAGTTTTTCTTTGCATCTCCAGAGAATAGTAGTTCTCGCAGTGACATTTCGTTAAAAAGCTGTTCATGTATACATTTCTCAAACAAAACGAATAACTGAAACTTCATCCTATTCGAGAGTATGCGTAAACATGGCACTTATGTCCAAATGCCAATATATTAGTTCTAAACCAGGATATTATATTCCGTTCTCAGTTCTCATTAATTCTATCTCACAATGATTACAAAACTTCTGTGTGTTTCATAATGCACGAGAGGCACATATATAAAAAGAACATCAAAGCAATGCAGTTAGAGAATTCCAATTATTTGGGAAAAAAAAAAAAAGAATATGGAACCACATATCTGAATGTATCAAATGCATTGAGAAACTGAAACACCACCAAAGCAAACAAAAAACAAACCTCCATAAAGGCGGAGTCCAACACTAACTACGGAAAGGACTCCAATCCAAAAGAAAAGGACCAATATCATAATTACAAAACAATCTTATGACCAACGCCCAAACGGAACTATTAAATCTCACCAACTCCTAAACCTCCTCCCTAGATTTCTCCACATCCCTCAACTTCTACTATTACACTCCAACCAAATGCTTACAAAATAGCAAAGAAGCTCATTTGCCACAATATTTTACCATTCTCCCTAAAAGCGGGATGCAAAGTCACCTCCTCCATCAAATAACACGTCCCTATTCCAAGCCCCACTAACCCCAAAAGAATTCGAACACTGATCCCAAAGGAAATTCAGACCGGTACTCCCATAGCAAACGACTTAAATCCTCCAAATGCATTTTGCCCATAATGCACCATAGCAGAAGCAATATGAAGGAAGAATGCCATTGGGCATGATTCAAGGCATTGGCTCTCCTTAGTAAAAGCAAAAACCTCGACCTTTTTATCGTAACTCTTATCTTCTATAATGAGGAGAAGACTAAAGTCTCAAGAGCAGCCAATTGAGCAAGGGGAGAGGATAAAAGGTTAAAAAGGAATGACAAGAAATCTCCCTATCAAGATCAGGGGAACCACACCCTAACATCGTTTCTCCCTAGAACAATAAGGTGGTCTCAAAGCATAAAAAGGAGATCTCTCACCTCAACTGCCTCTCTATCTAACAAAGGGCAATGAAAGCCCAAAGAAATTGAAGAAAACTAGTTTGGAGAACACCACACAGAAGCCATAAGATGCAACTTCTAATCTGAAAGAAAGTGGAGCCCAAGGAATAAGTAAGTCGTAACAATTAAAAATTGAAAGAAAAAAAAAAAGGAAGACCCATAGCAAAGGAATTTGCAGAGGCTCCTCAACACCCCTCTCAAAGACCACTCAAAAGGGTGGGGCAACACCTACTCGCTATCATTCTAAACTACAGCACATCAATCTTCGAGAAGGAATGCCACAACCATTGGCCAAGAGAGCCTCATTTCCTTAATGATAAACATGGGAAAAAATAGAAGCAATAAATCACATGCTAGCAAAGACGTATGGAAAGGACATCATCCTAAAAAGGTAAAGTTCTTCCTTTGGGAAATAGCGCATAAAGCCATTAGCAAAAGAATGTCTTATATCACTCTTTCTCCAAATTGGTGTCCATTAGGCAAGAAAGAAAGTGAATCACAAAGCTACTTATTTATGCTATGTACACACGCTCAAAATTTCTAGACGATGGTTCTCAATATATTTGGATGGCATCTCACATTTCCTAGGGAGGTAAAGAATCTATTGAACATGGCCTTAACGTACCACCCTTTCAAAAATGAAAAAGACCTACTATGGAAAAGCCTCATCATGGCTTTCTTTTAGAATTTGGGAAAGAAAAAAATCAGAGAATATTCGCAGAAAAGATACAGACTTATACAAAACTTTTCAACAAGGTTACTTACCAAGCTATATTTGGGTGGAAACTGTCTAATATTTTTACCTCCTATAGTTATACCTCCCTCATTGCAAATTGGGAAGGTCTTTTGTAAACACCATGGATATTACATCCCTTTTGTAAATTTCAATCATCAATGAAATTATCTCTTATAAAAAAAAAAAAAAAAAAACAACCTAATTTCAAAATCTAAACGCCCCAACCACAAGGTTGACCGGCTTAAGAACCACCACCTACTTAACTAAATGCAAACCACCACCCTCCAACATCACTTCCGACAAAACAATTCCCATCAATCTCTCAAGACCCTTACAGAATGAATTCAGGAAGCTAAATGAGGACAAGAAATAGCTAGGAATCCTTGTTAGAACTACCTGAATAAGAGCGAGTCTCCCTACTTTGGAAAAATAAACCATTTTTGAAGAAGTCAGCCCTTCCTAAAACTTTTCCAAGACAAAATTCCAAAACGGCGTTCTTTGGTTCCCACCCAAAGGGGGCCCAAGCTAGCAATGGCGAGCTGACTAACTTCACACCCAACCTACAATTAAACTCTTCCCCCTATTGGTCTTCAAGTCAGAGAATGCCTCAAGGAAGGAAAAAAACCTACTTAGATTGACAAAATAATCCTCCTCGCCCAAACAAAAAAAAAAAAAAACAAATGTTGTCAGCAAACGAAAGATGGAAAATATGGGATAAATGCTAACCCTCCCCCCCTTAAGGCCTAATACAATTCCCATTGATAAGAACGAAAAAATTCATATAACTAATTCAATTCCACATCCAACCTCTCCATTTGACCCCAAAACCTTTGTACCCAAAAATCTGTTAAAAAAAGACCCAATCCACAGTCATAGGCTTTCTCAAATCGATTTCTACGCTTCATTAGCTATAAGCACTTGGTCCAAAATTTGCTCTCTTGCTATAAAGGCTCCTCGACTGTCAGAAATAGCATTTAAATAGTATTAGGAGGGAATCGCTTCAGTCTTCCCACTAGTATTTTTGCAATAATCTTGTACATGCTTGTTGCAAGGATAATAGGGTCTAAAGTCTCTCACTTTAGTCGCCTTATCCTTCTTAGGCATGAGGAACACATAAGTCCCATTCATTCTAGTATCAATAATTCTTCGATCGAGAATTTGCAAAAAAATCCTTCCACAAATCCTCCTTGATACTATACCAACAATTTTGAAAGAAAGCTATAGTAAAGCCATCAGGACCAAGAGATAAATTCCAGGATGAATACCAGCATAATTAATTTCATCAAATGTCGGTGGCATCTCATATCTTCCCTTCTATATTTCTCTAAAATTTTATTCTCGTCATGACTACTTGACATCAACATTTATGCACGGTAGCCACAAACATTAAACACATAAGCGCATCAAAGCAATGCAGTTAGTAAATTCCTAATATTTTAGATGTAAATGAAGCCCAATATACCAACATCTCACTATCACATGCCCAAAGTAATTTTTTATGACATTTCAAGGCATTAAGTAACTTTGTATGGCATTCCAATGCATTAATGTATTTTCTCTTCGGTATAAAACTGCTGTCCAAGAGCACAATAGCATGAACTTCTGTGACAAGACATCTGCTTTATTCATTTTCTCTTCTCTGTGTTATAAGAAACAGAAAATACAGAATACTTTTATAACAGAAAGCTTTGGAGGCTTACAAATTTATTTGATCCATTGCAGAAGACATGATAGATCGAAATGCTAGAGGCAAGAAAGAGATTGTGTATGGAGATTTATTCCTCTCAATAATTGACACAGGGACCCATGTTTCATCTTTCGAAATATTTACGATGGAGCCTCGCATCCAGGCACAAAGCCTTAAAATATAAATCTTTGTCACCTCTGATTGAAGTGTTCGCAGTGCAATCACTGTGTTCACAGAAAGCAAAAAAATGTGAATGATTGGAGCGGGTAGACAAAATTTAGACATAAATGATGTGTAGATACCAGCACTTGTAGGAGCTGATTCCTTCGCTTCGAAAGTTTGACATGTGCTAGATATTTCATTTATGGCATCACTCATATACGGCTGAAGAATATTTGATTCTTCAAGATCACGAAAGGTGCTGTTAACCTGACAAGTTAAGCATTTTGCATAAATTTACTAAGCTAAGCGTACTGCATGAAGGAACCAAATGTAATAAATGTAGATTGAACTATGCAACACTGACTGATTAAGTTCATATGGGAGTAACCCAAAACAAAGAGGATTTCTTTAAGTCCAGCTCACATGGGAGAATATATTTCTGTATAGAAGGGGGCATAATAAAGATTTATTAAGCAGATACAAAAAGGATATTTAGTTGTCCTCCCACGGCAGAGATAAAAAATTATCTCCCTGCTAGGTAATGTAAAAATGAACGGTAACAACAAAATTTCCAGTAACAAAAGCCAACTACATGGATGATAGCCCCTCTCAAATGTTTTGGGAGATTCTCTATCATGAAGAGCAGTCTCTCACGGGTGAGAGGAGAGTACCCTTCAAAATCACAGTCATGAATGATCACAAAAACATTTATAGCACATCATTAAAATTCTACTCGGAGAAGAAATCATCCAATCCAATACCATTATTGCAGTGACTATCCAAGATATAAGCATATGACTGTCAATTGCATTCTCACCTTTACTTCATATGCAGACAGTGTATTGCGTATCATCCCAGCAACTTCCTCGAGAGAATGATTCAAGTACTTCCCTTCACCAACCTTGTCCTCATTTTTGCTAGCCGAGGTGTTTGTACTTGATTCAGTAGAAACTTGAGAAGACTGAAATTATAAAATCAAGCATCAAGATAAGGGCTATAATGAAAGTTGAGAAAAAATTAATCTTATCCTCACAAGCACTAAAAATTAGAGAGATAATTTAAAAACAACAGATCCACTTATACAAGACAGCATGCAGTAGATCACTAACTGATCTCAAATTACCTTGGCAAATTTCCCACTGAAAACAGAAAGAGCAGTTTTCCAAAACACTGGTATGTGACGGATAAGTACAGCTGTCAATCTCTGAATATATCTACCTCTGAGAGCATCAACTTCTTCACTATTTACTTCCACGAGTTCCACACCCACTGGGAGATGGCCAACCCTAACAGAAGAATGATCAACATCTGACTGACAACAATGAAAAAAAATTAAAACGAAGGCCATGTTCAATTTAATAAATTTGCTCAAATCATCATTAGAATCATCTTTACAGATTTCACCTACAGATTGATCCAGATCTTGTTGAATCTGCCTCCATCTTGCATCAGCAATAGCTCTTTCACGCATTTTAGTATTCAAAGCTTCCATTCTTGACTCATGATCTAAGGTGCACTTCTCAAGCAAACCTCGTATCTTGTGATTCTATAAAAGAAAACAAAAAGTACCTCGATGAGCTGACCATTTGTACTTAATTCTTTAAGCTTGACTTCTAAACTAATCCATTCACTTCAATATGAAAATAGGGGAAGGGGGAAGGAAAAGATGGAGATCAGAAAAAATGCATTTTCTTCCGTTTTTTATGATAAGAAACCATTCCATTAATCACCAAAAGATATACAGAACACTGAAAAAAAATCTCCCTACAAGCAAAGGCTTTAGAGAAGGTGTTCCACTGGGTCAATCCCCATATTCACAATTGTTGAACTCAAATCAAATAAAATATTATTAAAAAAAAGTGCTAAAAATGACCGTGATTACTAACTCCAAGAAGCTAAAAGGAAAATAGAACCAAAATTATCACTCAAATGCTTTATAAGAATTCTAAAGAGGTCACCCAACATCGAAAGCATGTATGTGAGAATCGAACATCTTGAAAGGTCCCAATGTTGGTCTATAGGGGAAGTTTCCCTTGAGACGTGTAAGGTGATGTGGCATGGGCAAGGGGAAGCATGGGAATATCAAGGCTATCAAGTACAGGATTCGAATTTTGAATACTAGGCTTGGGGCATTCCAGTCGGTATCAGAGCAAACATCTCCTACTACATTGTGGTTCAAGGAAGAACCACAGTTGAAGCTAGTGAGCATGTGACTCACAAGTATAGGAAGGATATATGAATGAACTAAGACCACATTTGAATTAGAGATTTTAAGAATATGAGTATAGGTTAGAAAGGTAGAAAATAACAGAGGAATTATAGAAAATACCTCAAAACTTTGGGTTTCGCTACAATAATACTCCAAAAATTTTAAAAGTTATATTAATATCATTGATTTTTCGATGAAAAATGCCCTTACTGAGAAAAACCACAGCTGAACGTTTAATCGAAACAGCAACCAGCTAAGAGATAAATAAAAAGAAAGCTTAGCTAAGAAAGAAATGAAAAAGACACCTAAAGAGAATTTGTGGAATAAACCATGTCTGGCCGCTCCCACTGGCTGTAAACAGTAAAGAGTTGAGACTACTCCTCTAAGATAAAATGGGAAAGAAACAGTGAATCTCATAGAGAGCATAGAAAACCAACCAGAAGGCAAAGTGTGTAGCCTCCATATCTCAAGGAAGACAGTAGAGGTGCTATATTTGTACATTATACCAATTTCATAAAAAGAATGTACGAGGAACAAAGGTAACAGTAGAAAAAAGCAGTGTAAATATGAGTTGAAAGGTTTGATTAACACGTGGGAAAAGTGAATATGTGTGATAAGGTTCAAAGAGATAACCTCACTTATTTATCTCCCCAAATATGTGTTTGTTATGCCAGAAGAACGAGGAAATTCTTGATCACAGCCTTCTTCATTGAAGTTTTAGTGTCAGGTCGGATTTGGCCATTTGTTTGGCTTGAATGGGTATAAGCTTCAGTAAATAAATGCTTGGATGGTGGAATCTCTTAATGGATGGCGCTAAAAAAATAAGCTTAAGTGCTTTGCAGCAACGTTTGAAGGCTATTTATGGTTGTTATGGAAGGAGAGAAATGCAAGAGTCCTTTCAGATAAGTACAATTCTTTTGTATTGTGATCTTGTACAGTTCAAGGCTTCTACTTGGAGCAGCGAACACATATTCTTTTGTAATTACTCCACTTTCTTCATCAACTTAGATTGGGAGATTCTTATGTAGAATTTTTCTTTCTAGGAGGGGACACCTTAATGCTTTGTGCGCTGGACTTTTTGTTTCTTCCATTTGAATGAAGTGGTAAATGTTTCGTTAAAAACAATTGAAAAAAACAACATAACAAAACAAAAGGGGTTTTCCAAGGTCAACTAGCTAGAAGGTCTTTCGGGAACTTGTTAAATTATTTTGTAATCAAGTACAGCTAAATTATTCACCAGCAGGAGGCCATTTTGTAACCAGTGGTGAGTGGAGATATCTCACCTCCCCTCTTTTTGTACATCCATTTTGGTAATGAAGTTATTGCTTCTTATAAAAATAAAATAAAATAAATTATGAACCTTGCACAATATGTATTCGGGGGAGATTCGGATAACTCAATACTTAATGTTTCTTATTCAACATTGTTAATAATTGGATTTGATCGAAAATCACAGCGCCCCAGCAACGTTGTAAACTACTATGGTTTCAAGTATTGATAGGAAACGCCGATCTTTAAACCCATGATGAAGGGAGGTTCAAAGTGATTATTAGGGATAACTTATTTGCACCCTTTTGGTTTTTCATTTGCTTCAAATTAAAACAACTCTTATACAACCCAACACAACACTTCAGAAGTGAAGATACATATTTGCCTAAGTTTCTCTATAACCAACACAACTAATTAATATATTTCAATATCGAGCATTGCAGATTACTCAAATATGGGGCATCAAGCTTGAGACTCGGGCATGAGAAGAGGTGCTTTTCACAGGGAGGTTGGAAATTTGTTAGCACTCCAACAGAAGCTTGATTCGATTCATTTGAATGATGGGCTGGATTCAGTTACTTGGTCGCTGGAAATTTCAGGCTTGTTCTCAACTGAGTTATCTTTTTTAAAGTTAACTCAAAAGCCTGGTAGCTTGAAGGCTCCCTTGGTGGATCTAGTTTTGGAACTTCAAATACCCTAAAAAGGTCAAAATGTTTCTTTGTCTCTGGCCCATAGAAGTTTGAATACCCATGCCCAAATTCAAAGGATGTTCCCTAGATGATCCCTGTCCCCATAGGTATGTTGTCTGTATCAGGAGTTGTTAGACCACCTCTCCTCACTTTCCATTTGTGTACAAAGGGTGGCGTTTCATTTTAAAAATCTTGGGCTTGGACCTTTGCCACCCTCGAGAGTGGAGGATTGGTTGGTCAAAGCTTTATCAGGCTGGAACCCTAAAGGCAAGGCAAAACCTCTATGGAATTGCAAAGTTAGAGCGCTCTTATAGCATTTTTACTAAAGCTTTTCTTTTCGGTAAAGATCTCGATGACCCTGAATAAGAAGTGGTTTTTTTTACGGTCTTGGCCTGAGTGATCTCTGAAACTGAAAGCTTTTCAATTGGAAAGAAATTAACCAAGGAACATCCAAAGAAAAGTTTGCTTTGTTTTTTTTTTTTTTTTTTGTTCTTGTTGGGATAGTGTGGTTCATATAGCTTCTTGGTGATGTCAAATCATACCAAATTCTTTCGTAGTTACAGCCTTGTCTTGATTATGACAGATTGGAAGGGCAGTTCTTCTGTAATCTCTTTGGTAGTATCTTCTTCCTTCCCTTTGGTTAATATATATCATCGTTTCTTAAAAAATATTATTAAAAAAATAAAAAATATCTATATACTCAATAGACTGCCCAATATAATATTAATCTCACGCCACATACTGAATATATGATCAGAAATCCAAATGCCATGAGGAAGCACTGTTTACCTGTATGTTTAAATAATGCCACACAGGATCTGATTCAGAATCCAGCTCCAGTAGTAGTCTCACAGTGTTTTCAAGCTAAATGAAATATCAAAAGAATAATTAGCCACCCAAGAGTTTGCATACAAATGAGAACATCGAAAAAATGAGTTGATAATGCTATTACATTACAATATACATGAACAAGCCACAACTTCTTGTAGCTTTGGAAGGAATTTAGGAAGAATAGAATTTTAATGACTCTCCTAAAATTGTGAACATAATTAGGTATGAACATATTTATAGCTGTCTGTGTTCATTTTACAAAATTAATCCGTTTATTTGTACTAGATTGACCCATGGATTACACTGAGGCTGAATTTTTGCAGGTTGCTTTGACCCAGAAGCGCAGTTTGAATACCTTTATTTAAGACAATTTGTGTACAGTCTACGGTTTATCTGCATATCTTCCATATCCAACCATCTTAATAACAACCGCACAGCTTCAAGATATATAATTATGTAGTATTCAGTTTCAATTATAGAAAATGCATGCATTAAATCTGTTTTACTAAAGAAACGCATTGATCTAAAATAAATTGCTCAATCAGAAAATTGAACGAACATTGTCTAGGAGGAAAAAGAGTACATAAAACTATCCACTGCAAATCAAGACCAAAACCATCATCAGTAATATGTTTATGATGCAATCAGTCTGACGCAACAATAGCTACGATGGAAAGTTTTGAACTGACGAAGATGCAAACATCATTTCTTTTCTTGTACACAAAGTTATCTGAAATATATTTCCGTAATTAGTAATTTGGAGTGAACTAAATGCAAAACAAAGAGCTGACTCTTTAATTTGAGAGCAACAATTGCTGCTCCCAGCACAGACTATAAAGATGCTTTTGGCAGCCACAAGGTATCAGGAAGATATCCAAAATTTTATCCTGTAGAGGTCTAGAGGATGAAGTGAAAATAATGAAAAATGGTTAAAAAGAAAGCTCACGTTTGTCAAATCTATTTTTGGGTCTTCCATTGACTTGTAAAGTATGCCTTTGAACTCGTGCACCACTTTTTCAACCTCTTCAAGAACTTTTTTCAAAATTCCCACCTGAAACCAACATGTAGCAATGAGAATTTAATTGTCATCCAACAATTCATCAATATCCAACTACATAAACCAAATACATCGTCTCTAACTTACATTTGTTATACATTAGATTTTGGGAACTATGCAGTGTTATACCACAGATCTTAGGAAATGATAGTTAGAAACAATGAATTAAATTGGCTATGTGAAAGAATTAAGACGCATGGACAAAATCTAGGGTATTTCCATATTCAGACTGACGTTAGTGTCTAAGCATTGCACTGTAAATGGGTAGAAAGTTGCACAGAGTAACATCAGGAGAGCGAGAAAAAAAATACTCAAACTAAAATTTCACAAATCAAACAATGTAACGAACCTTTCTGGAAACTTCATTTGTCAGTTTTATCTTAAATTTCCAGGAAGGCATGATCCAGTGCAAAACCATGGGTTATATCATTTTGTTCATTTGATAGTTCGAAAGTTTAGGCACTTGGATGACACAAAGATAATGTTTCCAATGTCCAAAAACTGTAATGCCTTTCACTATAAATCTTCCCATAAGCTATCATTAACATGACGATGCTACATTTTATAACAAATATACAGAATAAATGCTTACCACACATCAAAAGGATATTAAGGTACAGAATAATCTTAGGATAAAGAAAGTCCAGTAATTTTGCCACTGTCATATATAAAATAAATTACACAAAATAATGTATACTATACAGCACAATTGGCTAAAGAAAGCAAAAGGTAGGGATCCAAAAGGCAGCTTAAACGAAATACTTATCAACATTATTCACTCTGCATTGAACATGAAAACTATTATTGCAGAAACAGAATATGTTTGCCAGATTTGACATGACTTGGAAGAGCGTGAAGAACGGAGGAAGTTATATACAAAGTATTGAAGAACATAGCACTAAGGTTTCCTTGCAAAGGCAGATTTAGAAAACACATATTGTGGAAGTTGACAGGAAGTTAAGAGTGGCTTCAACCCAAAAATCAAAATTTGTCCTCCCTCATGCATTGTGGTAAGACATTATGTAAACAAAATATGAGAGCATGTAGAACTGAAGTTTACATGAGATGGCAAAGCAATTGACTTTGCTTTTTTGTACTCCCGAACTGCCAGGTCATATTCACCCTTACTAATGCTGCTGCGAATGGTACTTGGCAAGTTAAAAAGCGTTCTGAACCTTTGCAGCATTCCTTGAACTGATCTGATCTTTTCAGCTTGCGCCTACAAAAGAAACTTTGTATAATCCATTTCCAATCAATAGTTCAAAGCTTCAAAGCCCCTTGCTCAGGTTTGAAACTATGCTGACCTGTCTTTCAAACAGAGACTGAAAAGCCCGATTGGCTTGCTTGCTTACTCCTTGAATACAATTAAACAAATGTAAAGTTCCAGAACCTTCAGGGTCTTCTTCAATTCGTCTCAACTTGGACTCAATATCTAGGAATTAGAAACATTACCATCACAATCAATAGACAATGCATATTCATATCAGACAAGGAAACTATAAAAAGCTGAATAAACAAGAAAAATGTTGGAGTAAATATTAACTCAGTAGCAAATAGTCATATTCAGCTGAAAAGAAACGATTTTTGCATACCATCAATTGTGGTTTTGCATGATACAAAGCAGTCAAAATTGTCTTTGACTAACTGTTTTCTTTGCTGCGTCCGTCCTTTAAGGTCAGTTTTTATAGAAAAAGCGCCTTTCTCCAAGTCTCCTGCACTTGTGTCTTGGTGTATCCGAGAAATGAAAAGTTTTGCATCAAATTTTTCAGAGAAATACATCAACTTGTCTGCCAACATGCATATAAAATATGTGTCAGCACCAATGACAACAAGTATTATCGCGAAGTACCTAACTTTTATGCAACCAACAAAAATATCAAGTACATACGCCCGACCACATCTTAATGTAATTACAATCATATAATAATATTCCGTAGCACTTACAAGAAACAAAGCAAGAGAAAACACCAGCCAGTTGGAGCAAAGAGAGATATTAAGTCTGGTAACCAGAGAAGGAGATGTACATATAACATACTCTTCCTAAATAGAATACAATCCTCATTAACGAACAGAAGGAACAGAATTGTAAGAACTCAAGATGACTCTGAACAATGGCCTTCCAAGGGTTACAGCCCAAACCCAAAGAAGCTTCTTGGGAATACCAAGCCATTGGAGCAAACCCTATATTGCTATGGATAATGAAATTGTTCTCCTCATGAGAAACAATAACAAGGTGGATATGAATTTGTACACCAGAACCAAAAAAGAAAATATACCTCGGAAGGCACCATCAATGAAATTTTTCTCAGATTTAGGAGAGCTCTCAGATGTCTCCGTAATCAATCTTAATGATTTGTTGTCTATTACTCTGTAAATACAACACAAAACCACATTAGCAAGAATGTTTTTTATATAAGCATTTCTATAATTTTTTCTACTACAAGAAACAAGCTTTTGTTGATATAATAAAAGAAAGAAAATGTTCAAAGATGCAAACTGAGTGAAAAGAATAATCAACCAATAACAGCAAAAGCCAAAATAAATCATTGAAGAACAAAGTGCCCAAGGGAGAAACTATCCCAAAAGTAGAACCACAAAGACCAAAATGTCACTAAACCTAAAGCCCTATCCATCGAAAAGCTGCAGCTAATCCACTATCTTAGGGACAAAATTTAGGAAGAGAAGTAGCTCAATGTTTAGTTTCATGACAACACTTTTTTTTTCTTTTTTCTTTCCTATTCTTTAATCATTTCACTTGTCAGAAGAGATTCTAAGACATACCTAACAAAAAAGAAGGTTGAGTGATATTCTGAGATTGTAGAGGGAGAACTTTCTTAAGCTGTCCCAATGAACTCTAGCAAAAAACTTGAACATACATGGAATGAGACAGACAAGTGTTCGTGATCACATGGAATTGATATGAAGGAAAGGTAAGGGGTATTGTGAAGTTCAAATCCATTCCGAAGGGCAGGGAGGAGACAAAAACAACAATTGTACTACTGCTAAGAATGGGGACCTAATATATAGAGATTTTTAGAACATCTTTTGACCATTGAACTTGGCTACGATCCACAAGTTTGTGTTCCTTCATTTCAAAGGCTAAGGCAGCTTCTCTAATAAATATTTAGTGAAAAGGCATTGTCAACTTCTGTTCACTTAAATTGAGTGCTTGCTATAGTCCTTATCTATGGACAGGAGGAAAAAGGAGAAAGGCAAGACGAATTGAAGAAGAGAAAGGAGCTAAAGTAGAGAGCAGGTGATAAACCTCAATATTACTTATCAATAATGATGTACAAGACAAAGAGGAGATTTATAGAGCTATCAGTCTCTCTTAACTTCTACTGTGTTAAAATTACCAGAGCATACCCTTTCATCAGCTCTCTAACACAGTTCCTCTATCTAACTCTTTTCTCTAGACCCCAGCTCCACTCACAGACCTCCTTTGATATATGTAAATAATCAATGGTCTATCGGGAGCCAATAGGTGGGGAAAGGAGGCGAGGGGAGGGGGAGAAAGAAAGCAAGTTGAAGGAGTCATAAGCATTCAAATCTAAAAGCTCCACTAAAATGTGAATTAACAATCATATACCTAATATCTCACCAAAGACCTAAACCCCATTGTCGATGGTATTAAAAATATGTCATGAATATTCAAATGAAACTCACTTCAATAATTTTTGGGATGTAAGCGTGTATCAATCGATTTCAATCAGATTATTGGGTATCAGTTAAGATCTATTTGGAGTATTTTGCATGAACTTCAGTTGTCATTGGTTCAAAGCCATAATTTACATTCTATGCTCAAATGTCCTTCTGGGATAAACGGAGTCTATCAAGGCAGGAGGGATTTTTACACATCAGCGCACTGTTACTTGCCCTTATATTCCCAATATCTAACTCCTTGACGCCAACTGTGGTTTTATCACCCTCTCCCAATTGACTAAATGTGATCCTCTCCCTTCCTCAATCCCTTTTGAAAAGAAGTCCCTCATAAGCTTCTCCAAGGTTTTTCTAACTGCCACAAGGATCATAAAAAAGACCAAAAATAGGTTAGAAAACCACTCGACACAGGTTAAAAAGGAAAAACTCTTTTTCCAAGATGAGAGACTCCTACAAACTTCGTCAACTATGGGATCTCAGAACGGGATGTTTTCTAGTGTTGTGACAAAGGAATGCTCACGTAGGATGAGGGAAACAATCCTTATGTCACATACTTTGGTTATTTCATTTTCTGATTAAATAAGAGTCCTTTGATTTACTCTACAATATTAGCAGTAATTTGTGTTTATTTGCAACATTATTTCCTTTTCTGTAATGGACTTTTCTTCTACTTAAGAAACCATTGTCATTCATTGTGAATAAGAAAAAAGAGAATATTTATTCTCTTAATATTCTAAAATGATATTAGAACCGAACAAATTAGACCCCTAAACCTAGCAGCCGTCAGAACTAACCCAGCTGCCATTGCTTGATAAGCAACCCATGCTGCCTAGGCTTCTTCACTATCAGACTTGTGCTTGTACAAGAAATGTCATTATCAGTCGTCCAAGCTCCTTCCAATTAGCACCATTGTTTGTCCCCGTCTCCCTCTAACTCTTAACAATCTCCCAATTCACCAAATGAGCTCCTTCAACTTCCTCCACACCTTCCCACAAAAAGTCCCTCATAAGCTTCCTGAAACTATCACACCAAACATGGTGCTCTAAACAGGGATAAACAAAATGAGAATACCACTTAACATCAACCGGATTAGGGTAAGTCTACCTCCTTTGGAGAAAAAACTTCTCTTCAAAGAGGCCAGCCTTTTTCTCACCTTGTCCGCCATGAGACTCCAAAAAGATACCTGCCTAAGGTTGCCTTCAAGAGGAATCCCCGAGTAAAATGTTAGTAAGCTTTCTTGCTTCCAAGCTTCAACATAAAGACAATTATTATGTTCAGGAAAAGGTAAACGTACTTCAATATTGAGGACATTTATATTCAAAGAAGAGTAAAACAAAGTTTGGACTTTCTTATGTCATATTTATATTAGGACTTTCTTACCCTTAGTCCAATCCCCGAGTAAAATTTTCCTTAACAAGCTTCAACATAAAGACCGATTCAACCCTGCTTCCACGGAAGCTTTCCTCTTCTCATAACTGACCGAGTAATCCAACTTCTTAAGCTCCCTAACCAACTTTGAACTACCTCTTTCAATCATCTTGGACCAAATTCCATTCTTAGGAGTAGGGGTAAGACTATAGGATCTTCCTTAGTCACGACAGCATGAATGCCCATTGGAGCTAAAGCATCCCAACCTAACGACCAACTTCCAATTTCCCCCATTAAAGGGAAAACCCTAATCAAAGACACTGTTTTCATTAAGATGAATGGAGGTGTGAGATAAATTGTGCATTTAAGAAGTAACAGAAGTTCAATCAAATGGCTAGTTTTACCAAATTAAGGACATTTATATTCACCCCAAAAGCTTCTTTCCCTCCTTATGTCAGACGTTGCATTTTTCTTCTCTTTTTTTTTAACCCGATTTTAATAGTTGGAGCCCCTTTCTATGGAGGCTCTTGCCTTTTGGCTTGGGTTGTTTGCTGTATGGCCGGCATATCTTTTCTTTCATTTTATATTAGGAAGTATGTTTTTTCATCCCAAAAAACAATGGAAAAACAATTTTTTCATAGAGAAAATGAAAGGTTATTGACATACTTACTCCTCGTTCTCCAATCCCTTTTTTTAAAGTTCTCCAAGGCATGATCTTTTAAAAGCTAAAACTCTTCTACTATCCAAAAAAAGACAGATTTGTAGGTTTGATAGAGTGAGTGCTCTCAAAAGTATGTCTTCAACCAAATGATATTCTCTAGTTCCATTCTCAAACTGTTGGGAACGGGAAGCAAGTGTAAAAATACTTCAAAGAGGGATTGTCCTTTTTTAACATCCAAAAGACAAGACACAACCTACTAGTTCTTTTAATGAGGTATTAATGGAAGAATTTACCCTAGAAGCGTAAGAACTAAAAAAGCTGCATGAAACCATCACAAAGGTTTATTATAAAGAACAGGGTTGTATCTAAAAGACATAGAAAAAGACCTTTGCTCATTTCTCTCTTCTTCTTTCTTTCTTTTTTTTTTTTTTTTTTTTTTTTTTTTTTTTTTTTTTTTTTTTTTTTTTTTTTTTTTTTTTTTTTTTTTTTTTTTTTTTTTTTTTTTTTTTTTTTTTTTTTTTTTTTTTTTTTTTTTTTTTTTTTTTTTTTTTTTTTTTTTGGGTAAGCAATAATTTGATTGATGCCTAAAATTTACAAAAGGGATGAAAAATCCATGATGGGTACAAAAGGTCCACGGCATAAATTGCAATGATGTGATAATTTAAGCCTCCTAGAACTAGAATAATCACTAACACCACCAATCAAATACCAAAAGTCATGTTCAAAATGGTACTACAAACATAAAGTTCATGAAAATAGTCATAAGACCATGAAGCAAGTACAAAATGCAAGCCGAAAATAAACTTACCCCAACCCAAGTGGATCTATACATTCCATGCCACGAGGGAATGACTGCAAATGGCTGAGCCCCGGTCTACCAATGGCAGATACCTTTCGGTCAAACTTCTGAGGAACCGGTGCTGTTCTTGTCTCCCGCATTTCACGTACTCTTCTAGCAAGCTGTGCAAGCAAATAGTATTCATCCACAAATGATGAATCATTAATAGATATAATATTGAGAAAGCATTCTCCCCGTCTAAGTTGGGGAGGGCAAGTTCCACAGTACGGAAGAAATTAATCCAAAAAACGTGAGACAAAACTTGATTGCAGCCATCTAAATGCATAAAAGTACTGGTTACTGATCGCCGTTTCCGAAAAAGCTTGACAAAGGCATCTAAATATACTTTTCAAATGATTTCAACAACAAGAGGGAAGATAAACATTAACCACTCTCCTAAAACAGCTAAAACTTGAAGAAACTGCTGTATAAGTCAAAAAATTGAAGCGAAATTAAAGTAACGATGTAGAAGAACCTCGTCTTCATCAACATGCTTCCAGCAATGAGGCTCCTCGCCGTCCCAGCCAGGATCATCGTCCCTACCAGAGGACCTAGCCGCCTTACCGCCGCGACCTCTAACTGCGGACGTTCGACGATAATTGGTGGAATCCTCATCACCACTGGAAATGCTCAGCATCTCGACCTCCGAATCGTCATCGTCGTCGACAACTCTCCTACCACCCTTAGGCTGCGCTTTACTGCCACTAGTTTTAGAAGAAACAGCAGCTGCAGAAGCCGATTTCCGGGAGTGAGCCGACGGTCGGACGTAATTAGCAACGGGCTTCCCAGATTTAGAGACATAATTGACATCGCGCTGTTCTTGCTCCTTAAGAGCCATCCGCAGCAGTTCATCCTCATCCAGGTCGTCGCTGTCGGTGGACATTTTCGCCGGATTCTGATTCAGTATCACCGGAAGATTGAGAATTAAGAGTAGATCTGGAAATCAGTGGTAAAAGCCTCAAATCAATTGGAATTTGGAATTCGGAATTGAATATGAACAGCGCCCGAGAAAGTAAGAACGAAAAATGGAAGGTAGATGAAATCGAAGCACCAAATGAAGAAGCCGTCTTTTTTCTCTTCACCGGAGGGACACGTGGCACATACACAGAAATACCCTTAAATCGGTACAAATTAATGATTTCTTGTTTTTTTTTTTTTTTTTTACAGATTTTTAGTTAAATAAAATAAAATAAATAAATAAACAGTTTTGAACCTATACTTTTATCAAAATAATAATTCATCATAATTTTTTAAAATATATATATATATATATATAAATTATTTTTTAAAAAATATGATATAAAATTTGTTTTTTTTTTTTTTTTTGGAGAAAAATATGTGTATATTATGTGTAGAACGTGCGAGCATATCTTTCCTTTAGTAGTTGGAATGTGCACGTTTAGGACTCTAGAATGGCAATTTGGATGAGAATACTATGTATGTTGAGAAAAATTACCAAAATACCCCTACGATGAGAATTAATGATCCACGAAGATTTTAATGTTTTCCATTGTGATAGAATGGAGGATGGGATATTGTAGTTTGTGCTCATAGCGATTGGTGGATGCTATCTCCTCATTGAACTTGTATGAATGCATGATATAATATGTTTAGTTCTAGGTGATTGATTTTGCATTCTCCTTGTAGATCGTGCTCATCTTAATAGACCTAAGACTAGGGCGTTAGAGTCAGATCGGCTAGACGATGACCTAGGTTAGAACGCCCGTAGTAGACTAAGCACCTTAGAATCATGAGCGACAATCAAGGGGTATAGACCCTAGTGCTCTATGACTATTAAATAAACTCTGAGAGTCAGAACATAGTAGCCAAGAGTAGAAAATCCATGTTAAGCTACCTAGTCGTCTTAGGAACCTAGTAGACCATCTCAACATCCAAGGTGACAAAAATGATATTTAGATTATGTCTTCGATACTTTAGGTGATCAATAGGAACATTTCCCTAACAAACCATGCATGAGTCAACTAAGTTAAGATTAGGGCACTAGAGCTGAAGTAGTTTACACGTTGACCTAGCTCAATACATTTCTAGTAGATCGAGCACCCTAGGATCGTGAGTGGAGATTAGAGGTCTAGACATGAGTACACTCAAGAATTAGATTAGCCCCAAGAAGCTAGTCCCGATAAGATTTAAACTACCTAGATGCCTCTAAGAACCTAGTAGACCAACACGACATCCTGGAATGACTAATGTAGCTCACTAGGCTATTAGGAGTATGAATGATATCTCTAGAGTCTCCACCTCCTATCTCCTCTAGTTCACCCTTAGTGCTAGCAGCACCGTACCAAGCGGTAGTAGTTTAGGCACCGTCAAGCTATGTTTAGGCCAGATAGGACAATATGTTGAGGTGACTAGATGTCCAACCTTGTGGAAAATGGCTAATGGCCTCCTAATCAAGGTCACTATGAAGGGGTGTAGGACTACCGGTTGATACATTAGCTAGCCAGCACACAAGGTCATTCCCTTCAAAATAGGGTAACTTTATGGTCATGTGGAAAGGTTCACCAACTAAAGCACCATAAATCATGTTCAAATTATCAGACACCACACTACCCCACTAGATTATTGATGAGGTAGCACCTCAACTCAAGATATCCGTCCTTCACTACATAGACAAAACAATCTATCTAAGTCAAAGAACAAAAAGGTCAGAAAATGTCACAACCCGATTTTCAAGACTTTGAATCTCGTACCGTGACTACAAAAACAAGACAAAAGCAAATGGACCAAAAAAATAAAATTGAACAATACAAAATAGTTGTCGTTCAAGTTATTTACAAGCGGGGACGAGAATGTGATACAAATGAATACAAATGACAACCCACAAAAATACAATCTAATTAACGTCTTAGGTCAACACCTCTCTATAATAGTGTAGATCTTGAGCACCTCCCCACCTCGACTAGTACTTGAAAAAGAAAAAGGGAAATGGGTGAGTATAAAAATACTCTCTTATTGCATCCAATTCCTAGTAGGTTTTCACGGGCTTTTCTCGGGCTCTAAGAGGTTCCCTTATATGTCGTAAATGCTATCGGAGTATGGGTCCGTTACCACATTCTCTAGGGTCAAACATCATGAATCTTCTACCTTTGTAATCCCTAATCCTCTCTCACGGGATTAAAATTTAGTTTAAAACACAGAAGTGAGCTATAAAATTTGTGGTTGGTTGAATTATATGAATTAACATAATATTTAAATTAAAAAAGAAAAGAAAATATATTTGAAAGTAAATATTATATTATTATTGCGATGTGTGGTACAATAGGAAGGATTGGAAGGTTTTTATATAATGAAAGCCATAGATGATAGAAGCAAATAGATGAGATTATATTGTTGAAGATTACAATATATCATATGGTCGTCTCCTTTATTGAACTCAATTCAAATGCCTTTGTTTATCTGTCGTTTTTCCTGCAAAACAAACATGAAGCTTAGCCTCAAATATATGCATACCCGTTTGAGTAATTATACGTTATCTTAATATACTCACCTTGTATCTTAGACTTATATAGTTCACGAGTCCTTATTGGCCTAGTAGTAGTAAGGCGATGGTGGGGGAGGAGGCGACTTGTACACGGGCGAGGGTGGCGGAGGAGACTTCTTTGGCGGTGGCGGAGGTGGAGACTTCTTTCGTGGCGGCGGTGGAGGAGGAGATTTCTTTGGTGCGGGTGGAGGGGGTGACTTCTTTCGTGGAGGTGGGGGCGGAGGAGATTTCTTTGGTGCGGGTGGAGGGGGTGGCTTCTTTCGTGGAGGTGGTGGTGGAGGAGACTTCTTTACTTCCGGTGGAGGAGGAGATTTGTATTCGTCGTCCTTCTTAGGAGGTGGAGGAGAGTAGTAGGCAGGTGGTGGCGGCGAAGAGTATTTGACAGGTGGAGGAGGAGAATAGTAGTCGTCGTAGCCTTCAGCAGTTGTGGATGATGAGCTTAAAGCTACCACGCAAACTGCGATAACAAGATGGACAATGATAGACGGAGGACCCATTTTTGCTTATACTTTGGGTTTTCGTAATTCCGATTTTGAAATGAACATTTCTCGAGCTTTATATAGATCTAAAGTTCTTGATTACTCCTCAAATACTAACTAAGTCATTATAAATTGTAATTTAATTCAAAACATTAATATTACTTAATTAAGACGTAGAATTTGAAAGGTTAATTTTAATTAATCATTTATGTTGTAACATTATAGTTAATTTAGTTCGGTTGCATTCGTGAATGATAAACCCGTTAGTCTAATAAACAACTACACAACATAATACTTCATAAATTGAATTAAAAAAATATTAAAAAAAACTACTTTATAATTTTTAAATACCTTTAAAATAAAAATAAAATTACAAAAAACACCTCTACCATTAAATTTGGACGGAAATAATAATAATTTTTTTTTATTAATAAGTATGAGTATTTTTTAAAATTTAAAGGTATTATTAAATTTTTTAAAATAATTTTTTTTTTTTTTTTGGAGTATTTTTAGTAATGTAATTAAGAAAATAAAAAGGTAATTTGAGGTTTGAAGGGTGACGTACAAGTTTACTACTTTTGACTTTGGTAGAGAATGGACTCTCTATTGTAGGTTAAGAAGTACACGATTATCCATATATATATATATATATATATGTATACACGTCTTTACTTTTCAAATTTATTTAGTATTAACTACAATTCTTCGACGTATAAATTTCAATCCATTAAGACCATCCAAGTAATTGGTCTTACTATCGGCTCAGTCGGAAGAATTGTCTTATATATAATGACATGTGTCATCTATTTGATGTGATGTGTTATAAGGATATGTTATGTTATGATGCTATGATATGTTATGATGACATGAGATGTATGACGATGTGATACATTGTGATGATATATCATGTTACGATGATATGTATGTATGAGAT